TACGTTACTAACTCAACATTTGAACATGTAAAAACAAATAAAACCAGAGTGTACAATAAGAAATAAGTGAGGTTTATAACTTTATAAGATATCTTCGTGTGCGTGCATAATGGGACCATCTGATCAATGTCGTTGTACCAATTGTGGCCTTTGCTATAGAGGTGATATCGTAAAAGTACATTGCAAAAGAAAATATTATTATTGTCGTGCATCAAAGGCATATTTAGCTGATTGACATAAAGTGTTTAGTCTGGAACGGTGACTGTGCGAACGCTTAAGCAGATGAAAGTCAAAACACTCGTAAAAAATATTTATCGAGTGTACTTTGGCATCATGAATTAAACTTTTATCTCGCGCATAAATTGAATATGCGCATGTAGAGCCTTTAAGCTATTGGATATTATCTCTTTGCTAATTTACGAACTCTTGCATTTACAATTACAATACGTATCAACAAAGTGAGGTGAGATCAATTTAGATAAAAGCAATAATTCAACACATTATAAAAAATAGAAACAACAGTAGGAATATATGTATACTTAGGAAATAAGAATTCATTAGAAAATTATGAGAAATTTAATCTAGATAGTAAATAACAATAAAAAAATACTTGCATAGCCAAGCTATATCAAATTACACCTACCGATTGCCATTACGGTAATATCCCTTTATAATTCAAACTAAACAAAACATCAAAATTTATGATCAGATCCCGTTGAATAAAAGAACGGAATCAAAGCGCCACGGATACCGAATAAGGGGCTATTTCTTTGGAAAAAAAAATTCAAAAGATTTAGAGATAAAGAAACGACTATTCATAGAGCACAGTATGAGGCACCCGCTTTATCAAATATGGGATTAGTCCTTTTGGAGTCGGGTTCGTTGCTTTTATAGAAGACAAATATTTTGACACGTCGGTGAGCAAATAGAGAATACATTGAGTAACGGGATTAAGGTCACTTCTTAAGCACAGTTATCCTGGTGTAGGCTTATCTGCCTGAGTAAACCGTACCAGCTTTGAAAGCTAAATATTAAAGTCACACTCTTACCAGTGTTATCAACAACTCAATTTAACGGAGGCAGTAGAATACAGAAATCTTAGTCTGTTTAAGCTACATAATCGTCCCACATGCTCCATTAAGCGCTGGGATGACATCAAAAGACGGACCGCATAGTCGCATACCAAAGAAACACCACTATTATGTGATCCCGAACAACAGTTTTAAATATTGTGGGCCAATATAAATCTGTTTATAGAAAGAAACAAAAAGAGTATTGTTTTATTTTTGTAAAATTTATATATTTATTGGAAATTTATTATTTTAAATAAAACTATCTTTTCGGATTTTTTCGCGAATTTATTTTGGTTTTTGGATTGTTGGTTTGGTTGGTTGGAAATTTATTAGTAACAAAATACATAACTACACGTAAGCAATGTAGCAAGTAGTCATTACTGTCAAAACAATATTGTAGGTTTTGTAATATATAAACAATTCCAATTCCTTTTGCTTTTCATTAGTAAGTATAACTAGATTGCAGAAATTAAAGCTGCACTTCCTTTTCTGCAGATCGAGACAATTTTATTTTATATGAATATATTTAATACAAATACATAGACACTTTCCTTTGAAACACAAATCCTTAGAAGGCACAATTACAAATATTGAATAATTTTGTTAAATGACATATAGACCAATCGGAATCCGTTTATTTTTAAGAGATTTTTTTATTGAAAACATGTAGTTTTATGATTTTAAAATGTTAGCAGGTATATGAGGAATAGAAATTAGTAAAATACTCCCTCTGCCCAGCTACCCCCGAGAAATGGAGGGACGCAAAGCGTTGAAAAATATTTTTTTCAATTTCCGGCTTACTGTGATGTTCTATCGAAAAATATTTTCCACAAAAATTGTAGGTTTAGTAAAAATCTACAACTTTTATAAATAACACTTTTTACAATAACCTCAAAGTTTTCGAGATATTTGCAAAAAACTCGGTTTTTAACTTTTTCTTGGTTTTTTATTTTTAATTTCTAGAATATTTTTTTGGTTTCCATGAAACTAAAGGAATGTTATCTTCGAAATAGATATAATAAATAAATAAAAAAAATAAAATTAAAATGTTTAGCCATTTTGATTCAGATTCGAGTCAATTTTTTTCTGAGATATTCGACTCATCAATATCTTATCATATAATGGATGCACAGTAGATTAAAGGGTTATTTTATAAATTTAAGTAGTAGTTTATATTTCAAAAAGGCACTATTACAGTTTAAAAAAATTGTTCCCAAACCGGATTCCGATTGGACTAATAGTAGGGACTTCGGTAGTTATTCTCAATAGGAGTGATTTAACGTTGGCACGCCTGCAATCCACACCGCGTGCGACGTTGGCTCGCAATCCGGCCTGAATTGTATGGGTTATTGGTACAAGCTAGTCACTTCTGCGCCCCCTTTATGGCTCAAGATTGAGCTTTGAATGCCTAAGTAAAGCAATAAAACCGGTTAAGGTATTTGGGAATAAGGAAAGAAACGAAAGGAACCAGAATTAAAAAAACATTATTTACTAATCGGAAATTGAAACGTCCACAAGCACTCCACTTATTATTACTATTGTATTAGAATTATTGTTTTACTTACTGCATCCGAAACATATGAATAAAGAAATTTCCTAAGTTTATATTATGTTTTGCACATGTAGTTAGGCAAGTGATAGTGTAGTAATATCACAATACAAATGCTATGAAAACCAAATTAACACAGATCGGGGACAATGTTTGACATCTAACTGTGGTATGGTCAAGAGAACACCCAAGTCTGAGTTTACAGTTAAACAAACATGTGATGTGCGTACCTGCACGCCAATAATGCATTTCATTGTCGGTTCGCCTTTGCTAATACAGGTGCAAATGCTTCTAATTCAAGCACAAGCTCATTCTATTAACTAGATGATGATAAATCTTTAATATTTCCACTTTAAACTTGTTTTCTCAGTAAGTAACAGTATTACATTGTTTACATTGTTACAAAATAATACAACTGGTAGCAATTATATAATTAAGTACATATTTATATAGAAAATCACAAACATACATTCCTTGATACCTAATGGTGTCAAATTATCGGCTGCCCTTACCTTATAGTATCTGGTGACAATAATTGTCACGAGTACTAGGCACCACAAACCTCAAGAATTATCAGTTATATATTAAGTACATACATATTATGTAAGACTCCGTCATAAAAGTGCATACGAACTACTTAGAGGTCGTCCATTAATCACGTGTTGTGTTTTAGCAACTTTTTAACATCGCCTAGTACTCGTACTTATATTGACTATACAAAGACTGTTCTTTATAAAAAATAAATAATATAAAGAAAGAGTCGTAACGGTCGCGAAATATTTACACTTTTTCCGTCTAGCATTCCTCAAGCGTGCCGAGTATAACATACAATAAAGAACTTCGTTCCAACAGAAGTTTTCTACAAAAATAGTCAGACGTCAACAGCGCCGCAACTAGTGATTCTAGGACCATTTTATTTAAGATATTTATAACGAGACCAAGCAAGTTTAAGGCATTATTGAGAAAAAATTCATCACAACACTCAACTAGTGGTGGAAATTAGATTATGTACCTTAGTGGCTGTGTTCGGATCTAACGGAAGCAGTTTATTATAGTAGTTTCATAACAGTAACAATTCTTAACTTTATTGTATACTGAGTCAAAATAATTCTTCAACTCCGATTGGGAAAAATAATATTATTATTTAGCTAAACAAGTAATTATGTTCTTAGACTGATAAAGCCCAACTTAGTAGCTCTCACAATCGAAACGTATCTAACGACACCTCTTAAGCTAAAATCCATCAAGCCATTTAGGCTACAGAGCCTGCCAAAGAAATGTACATACATACATACATACATATGTACATAGTACATACATACATACACTCGAAAAACATAACCCAATTTCTAGCGCAGTCGGATAAAAAAAGAAATAATGATTTTGCACCTATATTACTAAACCATTAAACTTTTTGTGACTATTGTAAAGGTTTTTGGTATATTTATTTGCTTAAAAATTGTTTTCTGACGTACCCAGTATATATGTATGTATGTATGTATGTATATTTCCAGAATATTATTTTGGTTTAAAAAATATAAATGTGTGAAGCCATCTATAGTATTTCTCTAGAACACATTTTCACTTCAAAGTATGAAATAGGTTCAATATTTTCCAACAGATGGCAGCGTTACTTAAAAAGAGAGAATAATTAAGTGTACATATTTGATAGCTACATATGACAAGTGACAACAGCAAAACTTTTAAATGGATCTTTAAATTTTACTGATTGTACTGCATTTGCTGAAAGTGATTGATCATGTGTTTCAAATGATATTTCAATTTTACTTATATTAAAATTAATAAAAAACTAAAATGGATAAGTTTGATTATTGCCTAAAAAATTCCTACATACTTAGTATATTACTATACTATACAGAATGCTTGCACAGCGTTATGATGAGTGATGAACTTATGATGATTCAATAAATACTGATTTAATTACAATTTTATAAAGGATTCAATTAAAGATCTTACAAATAGACCAACAGCCATAAAGAACAAAGAGCCATAAGCTGCACCTACATGTGAACATTATTATTTAAGCATCCCTAATTTCTAATGCCCAATTATTGCTTTTATCTTTATTAATTAGTATCTCAATAAATATATGATCTCATAAAATATATGTATTGTGTCTAAGCTCTAGAATCGCAAAATTAGTACTGCCGCTATATTTATATTGTTACTCACTAGTTAAGGAATTTGAGTGTTTTTTACTCATATAATACATAATAGAAGTTAATAAGACCACTTGTTTATAAATTTTAATCACTGTAGGTGCAAAAAAATGTCTTATTATTTTAAGTCGGAAATTTTTTTTGGAAAAGAAAATACTATTTATACAAATATAGTAATTATAATAACTCAACACTTACCCTTTTAAGAGGTACTTTAAAGCATATTATTCTTGTCCCTTCAATAACTTTACCACACGCTTTGTATGGTATCCATCTGAAACAATATCAAACACAACATTTACAACATTTAAGTTAAATGTTATTATTTACAGACTCTTCTATCATACCTGTCAGGGATGCTAGGTGGCATTTTAATACTTCTTTGCTTTTGATTAAAATGTGTTATTATACTATATCACAAACAATATTGTACACAATTTAAAAATCGTAAATATTGATGTAAAAATAACCTCAAAATAATCAAATTAAAATGTCAAATGAATTGCCTCCGTCACGTCAATGCCACGGTATAATATGTCAATAATTGTCAAAGACTCAAAGTTGTTATAAAGTTGACTTGTAAGTTGTAAATTGTAATTTCAAATTTGTAAATCATTCGAAGCATCAAGCTTGCTTTTAATAACAATCATGCTTGATACAATAGTTCGAAGAGTAAATCAGTTTCTGAAATTCTGTCTTGAAATTTTGACTATATACATTTTAACTTTAAGTAATTACTATAAGCAACCCTTAATACATTTTAATAATATATTTAAACATTATATTTACATAATACATTGTACCTAAGATTATAAAAAATATCTTATTTTGACCAATTTATCTATGGTTTTGACATTAGTATAGCTATTAGCTTGTGCTTTTGCAAATGAATTTAAATTTTTTCTTGCAAATGAAAGTAATATTTTGTTTTACATAAACTTTAAAATATTAAAAAAAAGTACTATCATTACATAAAGTAGCTTAGAAAAGTGCAATGGTCTAAAAAGAGTTTCTATTATGTTACCATAGAAACGATGAAAAGAAAATCTAGTTCAAACTGTTTGATCGAAAATTTTGAGGGCGAAAACCACAGTTTTAATAATAGTAAAATATTTGTACCTTTAACACGAACTGATAAAATGTATAGAAATACAATTTGGTACAAATCTCTGCTCAACGCAGAAAAAACTTGTTTGAAAGAGGATAAAATAAAAAAAGTTCATTATAAATTTGAAGATGGGAAAGAAATGGTTGAAGAATATAATGTTGATACAAATGTATTATTAAGAAGAGCTTGGAAAATGAAGGGCAAACTAGGAGGAGAAGGCAAATGGTCTGTAGAAATTGGTGATCCTATTCCAGATGCAACACCTAATAATGATGTCATAGATATTATAGAAAGCAAAGACGAAGTGAGTTAATTACAAACCAAAGTAATTATATGACCAAAGTAATAATAATAAAATTAACCAGTCTTATTAAAGTATACCTTCAAAAATCAAAGAGTCCACATAAACTAAGCGACACAAAACATTTTAACATTCTCAAGGGTTTCAGGGGTCATTTTCTCTGATCAATGAAAGATGAACATGGGTGAAAAAAAATTATCGTTAAAATATTAAATAGAACTAGATAGACTGAGATATAGCTGAAATAATTCCATTATAAATTTCCATGTTTAAATGTGTGAAGACAAAAATTATCCTGTGCAGTATATTATTAATCTTCTATCATATTTTTGTTACTTTAAATTTTAATTTTGTATTAATCATTCTAGCCTATTTTATTGAAAAGAAATACAAGAGTCAATATTGAGTGGAGAATAAGAAATCTACCATATCCTATAGAAACATATTCTATTAAGGCGAACAATGATGAGAAATGTATAATTATTAGTACTTCAAATAAAAAGTACTACAAAAAGTTGGAAGTATTGGAATTACTAAGATTAGGTTTACCTTTAGAGCAGATGAATATTAATGCGAGTCATAAATTTAATACCCTTATTGTAACAGTAAGTCTCTTTTGTACTAAGTTATGTAAGGTTATAAAATGCAAAAGCTATATGTATAATTTAACTACAGGTTTGTCCCAGTTTGTAGTGATCCTACTTACTGTGCTAGTGGTTGCGGGTTCAAATCCCTCTGGTTCATTCATTCATTGTTTATATTTATTTATAATATATGTGTATTTAAAGTTATGTGTCTTCTAGTGTATCAACTTTCTGGTATCCATAACACAAGACTCTTAGCTTTCCCTGGAACTAGATCGTGCTGTGTGTTAAGGTCCCAACATATTGACTTACTTATAATAATCTTTATACAAAGTACAATGTTAATTCAAGAAATATATTTTTTTTGCAGTACAAAAAACCACAGCAATTACTTGACATGGACAGAGAATGGTATGAAGAACTAAACAAAGTTAAACCTATTAAGGATGTACCGAGTGATTGTAAGACTCAATAGTATACGTATATACAAATAAAATATTTAAGATGAAAGTTGTCAAAAGATGTTATTTAAAAATAAAACTTCATTAATGTACTTAATTTTTTTAATATCGATTTTAGCCTTATAATAATGGGATGAAGTGTCGCCATATGAGAAATATACTAAAATCATATTATATTAAGTAACAATTTACAATGAATTTTTTACTTCATTAATTTTAAAACATACATATTTTTTCAAAATATTAAATCAAATTAACATCATCACTGAAGTAGTATTATAAAAAAGTTAGTTTATGTATGTTTGGTACAAAATGTTGACTTGAATTTATTTACAAACTTAAGATTATGATTTATGCAAATTGTAAAATATTTAATCACTATCATCCATTACTAGAGCTTTAGCTTCTACTTTTAGCTCTTCTTCATTGTCTTCTTTATTTAATAACCCTCTGGCTTGTAAATATTCTCCATATTGTTTAGGGATTCCCATGAATGTTTTTACTTTAGCTCGTAACTGTTTCCATGTCTCTTGATAATAGTTCTTTTTGTCTTTTGCCATGGCTTTGTAATCATGTCCATACTTATCTAATAAATATGTAATAAATTCCACTTGTCCTTTGGGTAACCTAAAAATTAAAATGAATTACTTTGAAAGATATGACAGAATTATATATGTAAAAATGAAAAACTTACATTTTAAATTATGTACAAATTACAAAGGGGGTTGGGGGTTAAAATTATTGAAAGTATTCTTGCATAATAATTAAATAGCAGCTAACAAATTGACACTAATGAATTACTCAAAAAACCACTGCCTGGCATTTATAGGATATTTAGTTGACAATGATACAAACTATAAGCTATAAATATAGTAGTATAAAAGTATGTTAAATTTTTGTATGTAGTAAACTGACCAGAGTGATGTAATTTATGAGTTTTCAATAAAATTTAAATAAACAGGTTTAATGGAACTTACATAAATTTTCTTTCTCTTGGGGCTTTTGCTTCTTGTTCCAATTTCTCAGCTACTCTTAATTTAGAAGGTCGCCTGTTTACAACCTCTACATCTTCTTCGGATTCATCATTATTAACTATTTTCTTTGCCCTAAGTAACTGCTCTTGCTTAAAGTTGGGTATAGATATAACCTTATTTGGATCATTTGCTAATCCCATATCACGAAGATTACTACACGATGATTTTTTCTTATTCCAGGCATCCTTTAAAACTTTGCTATAAAAATGTTTTAACTTTAGTTCTAAGTTAAACGAAGTATTCTATTTTCATTGTGTTGGCTCTTACCATTTAACATCGCCTGTACTCCTTTGTTTTTGATGCATACGCTTCCTATTAAGCTTATGAAGATACTTTTTCTTGCGATGTTGTTTTTTAATTTTCATTTTGCAAAACTTTGATTAAGTAAAAGTAACTAACACGTAATGTTTAGGTTATAATAATATAAATGACTGCAGCGATATAAACAAGCGTGAAAATAAATGTCAAAAATCTAAAAGTCAAAGTCAAAATTACAGTGAACAGTGATGAGTGAAGTTAATTTGGAAGTCAGATTGACTTGTATAATAAAGATTCCCAATCAAAAATTAAAAATTCTTTTAAATCAAATTGTTTTTTCTCCCCCGTGAACTATTTGCGACTTTAGTTTACTAATAATTCAGTTTCACTACATAGTATAAAACATAGTCGCTTCCCGCTGTCTGTCTGTCCCTATGTATGCTTAGATCTTTAAAACTACGCACCGGATTTTGATGCGGTTTTTTTAATAGATAGAGCGATTCAAGAGGAAGGTTTTAGTATATAATTTGTTCAGTTTTTGTATACATTGGCTAAAATATAACGATATTAGTTGGTGTCGAAAAAAATAAGCCGTCTGGTAGCTTTCAACGAAAACGCTGCCAAAGCCCTTTGAGATGTAACAAAATAATGTATGGTGAAATTGTGTATCTTATATAGTGCTACAGAAAAGTCCGCGATGGCTTATGTCTATCTCATAAGGATAACCATACTATATCTATTTTCAATTAAAACGTACCTAGGGACGAACTCGGGCGAAACGAGGGTGAGTCGCTAGTTATTTATACAAACTAAAATGCTCATAGTTTGGATGGCATATCAATGTGGAAGAATGTTGCCTTTTTCTCCCGCCAGATGTCGCGATTACTATGATCCTCAGTATATAGTAAAGCTCTATAGCGTGGATGGATATTTTTCTTCATTTTATTTAAAATTTCATTAAAATGACAATTTGTAGTAGTGCCAGGATGCAAAGAATATTGATTTTATTTCTTCCTAAAAGACAGACTAAAGACTAAAGCAATAAGATGATCAAAATTGGCGAAATTACAATTTGGACATCATTTTACAGAAAGTGATTTTAAAACTCTTAAATCGTCTACAGGTGATTTTTTTTTGTTTATTGTACTTTTTTACATATTCATTACAGAGTTTCATACAAACTTTCATCCCCTATTATACCCTCTTATAGGATTGAATTTTGAAAAATGCTTAACACGCATTTATTTTATTTTTGTATATTTTTAATAATTATTATAAATATAATATTTTATCAGTGAAATCGAAGGTGTACAAACAAAAGGAAATTATTATTTGGTCCATATACGATGATCGAGCTGCATACATATTTTTTTATAGGATGATCCAGGGACGTGCATAGTGATACCAGTTACTACAAGAAATAGAGTTAAGAGCAATTTAATCAATAATCAGACATTATAGTATGCTATGAACTTGAAATTACGATCATTTTTGCCTTTCCTTCTTTGTCTTTTGGTACAATGGTGCCACATTCATTTAATTTGTTAAAATAAATTGTTGGGCATACACATATAATATACAAGTTGGATGCCTTAGAGTTAGAGCGAGTTCAGACCAGCTAAGGTTTCCGAAACGGTTTTCTTATACGATTTACAGAGGAACTAACGAAAGTTGTGTTTTTATTTGTTATCCATGTTTATGTGGTCTAGGTGTCTGTGCGTGCGTGTTTGTGTGTATGTTTATTGCGTCTTCACGCTGAAACTGCTGGATGGATTTGAATAAATGTAATGCTCAGATTAAGACTATGAACTACTGAACCTACCTACCAAATTGACGAACTGAATTAATGTATAAATGTGAACGCATAATTGAATCGTTTTTTTATCAATATGACAAAAAAAGGAAAAAGCTTCGGTAAAACAAATCCGTATAGGTGTAATTATGCTCTTTGAATTTTACCATTTGTTTACAATCCACAGAATTATGGAGGGTGAAGGTAAGGACTAAGGAGAACCGTCTTATATCGGGAACAAGTTAAAAAACTGTAATTCAGAAAATTGGCGACATAGCGCCAATGTAGCAAGTAGAAGTGATATGAATTTAGCGGTTTTTAACGGAGTGAAGTGTTTTTGAGAATACATTCTTCACAAAACGACTATTTCTTCAGAAGTTTATCAATTATTTGATTTGTCTTAAACTTAATATTAAATAATAATTATTTAGATACTTGAAAATAATATGTAATTATATTCAGTATCGGTGTTTGCCTATGTTAGCACTATTTTGAAAAGTACGCTACAACAAAGCGGAAATCTTTCTTTCCTTGGTTAATTCACCATCTTACTATGTAGGCTTTTGGCGCTATGTTTTAAATTCATCTACTTGTTTTCTGTGGCGCAACCAATTTGATGCTTGTCAGCGGTCAATTTTTATACACAGAGATAGTTCTCCTTGCCCTCTACCCTCCATAAGCAAAACAAAAAAATTATTACCACAGATAGTATAAATACGATAATGATTAATGACATTTGACATTTTTAAGTGTGATAAAAATGTTAGGTTAATTTGATAAGGTTATGTTTACAAACTGAATAACCCATTTATAAGAAAAAACACAATTCTTTTTTAAAAATAATCATGCATAAAACCGGTGCTACGCGATATCAAAAATTTTTAAAAGCCGAGAAAGCAAAAACAAAGTTAAAAGGAAAGAAAGATAAGGAATTACCAAAAGGTACGAATGTTACGAAAACTAATTTTAAAGTAAAGAAAATTGTAATTAAAGAGCAGCTTAAGAATCGTGAAAAATCGCAGGAGGCGCTATCGACCCGAAAACTCAATGTTAAAGAATTATTATCTCGTTTAAACCACTTCAATACAAATTCTCGTACTGATGCACTGGATGGATTAAAAGAGCTCATAAGTTTACACCCGGAAGTCTTAGACCAAAATCTGGGAGATATTATTCATGGTATTACAACATTAATATTAAATATAGAAAAAGTGGTAAGTTCTTTAAATATTTTTTATGATTTTATGATACATTTTCTGATACCAGTTCATATTGTCTATTATATATCATGTTTAATTTAACTAAAATATCTTTGTTTTAGGTTAGACAAGGAGCTTTAAAAGTTCTTCATTTAGTCCTGTCCAATGTCCCTTCAGAAAAAATTGATCCATTTTTTGATGTAATGTCAACTTACTTAAGGAGTGCTATGACTCACATTGATAGCAGAATTCAAGAGGACTCCCTTTTCTTTCTAGATATACTTTTACTGTGTTGTCCTTTAAGAATTGCAAAAGATTTTCATAAAATAATTCCAAACTTTCTAGACATGATTTCAAAGTTAAGAATTGATGCTAAACCTGGCAGGACCTTAACAGTCAATTTAAATAGTCAAATAACAAGTGTCAAATGGAGAGTTAAAGTATTTCAACGTTTGCAAGAGTTCTTGCAAAAATATGCTATATTTAGCCGGATTTATGAAGATGATAAATCTGATTCTAATAACCCGCAGATATATAATGTTAAAAGTTCTAATTATTTTCCACTTTTTAATCCACATTCAATATCAAATTGTAATATCTCATGTTTTTCGGGCAATACTTCAGATTATGAGCAAAAGGTTGATGAAGTAGAAAAATTTAAAGAATATACAGGTACTTTAATGCCTTTGCTTTTTGAAACCTGGCTTGAGGCATGTCCTAATAAAAAGTCTGATGCAAATTTTGAAATGGTCATTAATGAGGAATCAGCTTTGTTGCTAAAACATATCTTACAAGTAATTTCATTACTTAAGTGTTTTGTGAAATATTTCAACAAGAAATCGCCCAGTTCCAATATTGAAAAAGTATTTTCTCAAAAGTTTAAGGATCCATTCAATCAACATTTTGTGAAATCTTTTCCATATGTTACTAACATTAGATCTAGACAAGTATTTGATACCAATAATGTGGATGAGGGTGTACTGACAGACTCTAAGCTAGTTGCAGTAAATTTGGAAATATGTCACTTATTTATATTGCTTAATCCAAACATAAATTTAAAAAGTCAGAATTTAGAAATAAATGCTGTCCTTGGTTATATTGAGAAAACTTTTAATCAAAGCACTGATAGTAAAATTAGTTCTCTTGTTGTAAAAATATTACACTCAGTCTTTTCCAAACAGATAACAGGCTGGACTAGAACTCTAACAATTTTAGACAATTTGTTCAGAAAAATTATCTGGATATACTTTAACAAATCTTTATCAGATTCATTTAGGCAGGACATATTTGCATTGTTATGTAAAATTGCATTAAATGACAAATTGTCACATTTTCACTGTAATGATGCTTTTGAAATGTGGCTTAAAAATTTGCCAGATATTTTATTAGAAAAGCAGTTGACTATTCAAACTGTTGATATTATTCACAAATTTGCAGTAACTAATAATGAAATATTCAATGTAGTTATGAAAGCAAAACTATTAAAAATTATAGAAAATCTTCCAAATATCAAGATAATTGATGCAACCAATGATAGTGTAAGTTATCATAAATTGCTATCAATATTATATTGGATAAAACTCTGGGATAAAGATTCCTTGAATCTATTAGAAAGCCAATTGATGGAAAATGTTTATAAGCCAGATCATGGGAAATATATTTTTGATACATTAAGGTTAAGAAGTGGAGGTATATTGTAAATATCTCATCTTAAAATGTACTGACTCAGCTAATGTAAAATTAAATACTTTATTGCTTAGCAAAAATTATTTTTTTAACATACATGTTAAACAAAATTGTCCCCGCATATGTCTCTTCATACCAAATTATGTAATATGAAATGCCATATAAATAAATGAAACAAAATAACGTATTTTTGGTTTATTAATTGAAACACAAAATTTTACATTGCCATTTGAAAACAAAGTATTCATACATTACATGCTTGCACAGTAACACTTATTATAGCAGTAAGCTCCAGACTTCTAAATAATTATAATTTTACATTTTTAATTTTGGTAAAACACATTTTTTTTGTATAATATGATGCAAATTTCTTATATAATAAAACCTATGTAATCTCGTTAATCATCCTAACAATTACATAAGGAACTATTTTGTAAACTAAAACAAATAAATTATGCATAGCCATCATTCAGAGGGAGAAACTTTGAAAGAACAAAGATTCAACTTAAGTCACTACCATTTAATTATATATTATATGATATCCAATCTATTAAATAAACCATAATATATAATAACTCTTCTTTAATAACTATTATTAGATAAACCTTTGTTCTATGAAAGTTACTTTAATAGGTTCACATTTTAAAAGATCAACATTGGTTGTATGTAAGTAACATCTTGTTTGTACGAGTACATACTGAATTATTTTAAACAACTTGATGTTTATGAGGTTTTAAGGTGCTTAATTTTCTGTTTATTTTTTTTACATAAAAAATATATTTGTATACAGAATTTTACAAAACATTACATTAAAACAATATACATAGGTAATGTTTAATAAATTAAAATAATTTTATGCCAAAAGATAATTTCAATATTATTAACCATGTGTTATTGAGAAAAGTTGAGATTCTCTAATAACACTAAAATAGTAAAAAAAAAAATACTTTTAACTTTTTCACAATCTAAGTTAATGAAATAAGTTCAAAATATTCCAATACAGTTTTAAAACGTTTCGTTACGGTGTCTCCTTTGTAACATTTTATAAATCGATAATTACGACTAGCCATCATCCTACATATTTATTTCTAATAATACCTACATTATACAAAAAATCTAAGTTTGAGTCACATTCAATTTGGCATTTTTGGCTTAAATCATAAATTCCCAATTTTTGAAAAAAATATAATGTGATGTAAGAAATAAGAATCGATCAAAAAAGAACCGGATACACAATCCAATGCTAAAGTTCTCTTAAAACTGTCACCAGTATTATGTTTAGGTAATTATTCTAGTTGAAATAAATATACAACAATGTAAATTGAACCTTAAATGCAATACTTAAAGTCGTTTTTACAAAAAAAAATATTAAAAACGCGCTCAAATATTCAAATGAGCGCTCATTCGGTGAGGACGTTTTTTGTCGCTGATTGTGTATCTAGTACTTTTTTGATAGATGGATGTAAGTGAGAAAATAATTCACATTATTACACATATATTTATTAACGTAAAATTCGGTTACAATGATGTTTCTTGAGATTTAAACAAAATTGACAATGATTAAAGCATTGTATCAGTATGTCAACAGCAAAAACAATTTTTGTTAACACGCATTTTAACAAATCTTTATTGACTTCTTTTCTCATGTTTTATATAAATTACTTAACAATAAATAGCATTTGATGCTAATTCCATAGACGTAGCTTCGATAACTTTTTGGATTCAATATTTGATACTTTCTTTTTAGATTTACCCGAATATTTGACATTTAAATAAAACTATCTTTTCGGATTTTTTCGCGAATATAGTTTGATTTTTGGTTCCTGACATTTGAAATACTTTACAGCAATCATGTTCACGAGAGACGTCAGTCTCCGCCAAAAATCAAAATAAATCCGTGAAAAAAAAACTCGAAAAGATAGTTTCATTTAATATTTAATTGATAATGTAATATTAATATATTATCATAAAGTTTTCTACGTCCATGTGAGTTGGTAACTTTAACACTTTTAACTTGGCTGGTATTGCACGACGAGGTAAGAAATATACACAATAATTAAATATTAAATACTTGTATTGAAATAAAATTGATAGAGTTTTATAATAATGTTTGTAATCTTTTAAAATATATCAACTTTCATCATATATACTGTGTTTAAAGATTTTTTATAGCAAATAAAATGGCTAAAAGAGTTGAATGTTTTAAATGATATGTTACGATCACATAACAAAGGATCGACTTTAAAAAAATATCAATATATAAACATATATCACACACATCTTATATACTTTTCCTATATACTTTTGGGAAGATAAACGTAAGTGCTTTTGATTAGAGAGAGACTTTCTAAAGATTTTTTTCTCGTTTTAAGTAATGCGATAGGTGCTTTCATAGCTTTTGTAGCGAATTGATTAAACTCCGTATATAGCTGAAGTTAAATATACGAAATTATATTTACATGATTTGATACCTATATTGAGATAAATTTGCCTACTGAGTTTTCCTTTTATTAGACTTTTTTGCGCGGGGTATTGTGGCAGAGGAAGACAGCATTGCCTGAAAATAAAAGAAATAAATAAATAAATCAAAACTAATTCAGAAAAAGCGCAAATTATTTACTTAACAGTGACACTTGGATTTTAAGACAAATAATTACTCATATAATATTTGATAGATTCAGTACATAGGTAAGTAAGGTGTATTATTATATACTACATATTGTATGTTATAATCAAACAAATAACACAAAACATTCATAGGTATATTATAAATAAGTACTATAATAATATTATTTTTTGCACACATTCTAAACAAATACATCAAAATAAAATCCATAATTAAATAAAAATAAGCAAATAAATAATACGCAAACGCAAATTAGTAGGTAAGTACCTAAGTAAATAAAAACATATAGAAAAAAAACAAAAATGCATTAATTTTGATCAAATTTAACCATATCGTCGTATTCCACTTTGTCAAAATAAGATTGTGTTAGAATTATTATTAATCACTCGTAAGATAAAAGTGAAAGTTTGTTAGTCAGTCCGTCTTGTTTCGATGTAAGGATCAATGTTTTGAGTAAAATTCAGAATAGGAATAGCTTCTATCGTGGTTTAAGATGTAGGCATTTTATCAATGTGCATACAATACAAATTCCACGTGAAAGGAAAATACTAGTCTATGTGTAATAAATAAAAATGAATGTTCGTATGTTTGTCCACTAAGAGTTCCTAAGCCATTAATCCGATTATGATGAAACTCTGGTGGGATATTTTGTATACGCCTGAGAAAGTGGCCCTAAAAAAACGACTTTTTCTTTGGACGTTTGTAATTTATGCGTTCCTTTAGGAATTCCATTCAAGCTTAGAACTTAGAGACGATCGAGGGTTAGTCGCTAGTAGTAAAAAAAAGTCCTTTTTACGCAACATGTGATACGTTAACATTCTAGAAAAAGCACAAAAAGCTTTATTTATAATTGTAACAAAATAAAACATGCAAACTGAAAACACGGAAACTAAAAATAAACATACTGTTCGATGCTGTGCCTCTCTCTGTCTACGAATTTTGATCTACTGTTAAAAATTTAATCGTTACACATCTGTGCTTTTCGACATAGTCTGTACATCTGCGTGCAACGAGACAAATTTGTATTCGGGATTATTTTCTAACTTTGCATCGATTGCTTTCTGAAGAGCATCGCTTTTTTCTAATATATTATTCGTCATATTTTCATTTAACTCATCTACGGGGGGAGTAGGTTCAGTTACTGCGATTTGTGGCATGTAAGTTTGATTCAAATCGGAACAACTTTGGAATTCATCTATCGTGTTCTCAGACGATCTCCTGCTAACATCTGAAATGTCAGGCTGATGTTTATCATCATTTTTGTGCCAAAATGCTAGTTTACCCGGCAGCTGTAATAGCTTACCTAAGGCAGTACTTTTCGAAGTTCTTGCAGGTGATTTAGATTTGTGCCTTCTATTTTTATCAGAGTCACTGTTTATTAATGTACTTTCATTGTCGGTTAAATTAGTAACTTCTGGTGTTTTTTCATCAACCGTATCTTTAATAGGAATCGTATCTGATATATTTTCCGGTCCAGAAACTTTTACATCATTTTGATTCTCTACAACAGCATCGTCATTTAAATTTTCTACTGAACGTGTTTGTTCTACGTTTAGTTCAAGATCTAATTGAGGCGATTCCCCTTCACTTATATTTGTATTAGGTGGCAGTGGCGCTTTCTCCTTTCCATATTTTCCTTTGATGAACTTTCTGTTACTTTTAGGGGTAGATACAGGTGTTTCAAATGACATTTCGTCATCGCTTTCTACAGTATCATAGTCATTTGTTGATATATTTACAGAAATTGTGTCAATAAATTCCTCTGAATTATTATCTTCCGATTGATTCTTTGAACTCTGAATTGAAGTATCGACTAAATGGGCAATTGAATTACCTCCTGACTCAATCTTTAACTCTTGTTTGATGTCTAATGATTCGATAATTTCACATTTAGTTTTATTATTATTGTCTTTAATTTCAGTAATAACTTCACTAGGAATGTTCGTATTAGAGTCTTTATCAATAATCGCTTCCTCTTTAGAACTATCATTTCCAATATCTTTATCTGTGTGTATTTTTATTGGTGGCGATAGATTTTCCACAGCGGCTTCTCTTTGGTCCCGTTTATCTGAATTATCAGTGTGGCTTTTAATATTATTGCTCAGTGGATAGCTACCTAGTACTTGTATTATTTTAACCTGATCTCCGACGTATTGATAAAGAAATGGGGGGTCGGTGTGCGATAAAAATACTTGGGACGTAAAGTTAACGAGAGGGGGCATATTGTTATAGTCAAGACTTTCGTCGTCGTTGACTTCCTCGATGATAACTTGATTACCCTTTAAATAAAAAGTACCAAGTCTGAATCAAAAGAAGTAATAAAATTAATAATAATAAACATAAATAAATAAATGCAATAACAGACTTATCGTAGAAGCAACCCGC